CCCAGTATCATTTACTTGCGTTTAGACCTGTGCTAAAGGAGGAACATACTAGAGGCATTTCTGTCCATCATTTTTGTAATTTATGTATTTATCTGCATGACTTTGAGCTAAGAGTGCCCCAAATGTCTCTGCTTTTATATTAGGAGCACATTCAGAAGTAGATTGGTTCTACTTCTTAGGACATACGTATACCTGTAAACTATCATGTCCAGACTCCCTATGTTAAGCACCATTCTTCCTTTGTTGAGGAAAGGCATTGATGTGGAAATGGCTCCCATGCTCTCCATGTCTGCCACAGGAAAGAAATCTTTCTCAGCTCTTTTGTGTTTTCTGTTGTCCTGGCTATTCTTGACAGTCAGCTTGTACAGTCAACAGGTACATCTGTCAGGTTTTTTTTTTTTTTAATTAAATCATGTGAAATAAGAAAATCCATCATTAATTCAGGTCTGTTTGAGTGATAAGAGACACTTCTTAGGAATTCCTATGTACAGTGAAGCCCAGCTGATACATCCAGTCTCTTCAATTTTCTCTTTCAATTGTAGGTAGAAAGCCATTGCTGGTCTAGCTGGAACACAGCCAGTGAACCATTCTGTTAAATCCCCTTTTCACGTAGAAGAAAGAGATTCATTCTGTCAGTCCTGTCTTCCTCGAGAACCTTAACTAATACTGATGTTTTATTTGATGTTTGCTCTTTTTTGCTGCTGTATTTTTTCCACCTTTTCACTCTGGAAGATGTGCTGGCTAACAACCAGACTCATCAAAAGCATTCTTCCTTGCCCTATTTCTCTCTATGTATTCATGTTAACTTGGAGACTGTCCTTTTCATTATTATTCATTTTTCAAGAAATTGACTTGGATTTCAGAAATAAAACTCATACAGAATGGAGCCATCATCCAGCCTAGACCTATCACAGTGTTTGTGCTCTGGCTCCTGCTTTCCTCTCTGTGTTGCCTGAAGTCCCTGAGCCCATTAGGTTAAAAGTACCTACCATTAGCCCGAACTCAGCATGATGCCACAGAACGTCTCTTTAATTTTTAATATCCCAGGTACCCTTCTACCTGAGATACAGGACTATCACTCCACTCCACATTGTGTAATGAGCTGTACAAACTAACCACCTTGTATCCAGGAGGAGAGGGGAAGTGTCTAAGGAGTGCTGGAAGACAGAAGAATCAGTTACTGGAGGCCATGTGCATGTGCTATTAAAACGCAAATTTCTTCATACCTGGGAAAGGTCTGGGCCTGGCTTGAAAGCCTTGGCCAGAACCGGTTGTGCTGTGTCCTTGAGCACACTCAAACCCTAAGGGAGGTGCTCATGTCACTCAGACCTCACTAGCCAATCAGGATCTCCAGGCAGACCACCAGTCAGAAGGGGAGGAGGGCTCTTCCAGGCTCCACGTTGCAGGCTAGGATCCATAGCCGAGCAAGCAAGAGTGGTTTGGAGTTCCGTGCTGTGAACTCTGCTGAAAGGAGCTGTGTGGAGAGAGTGGAAGAGCTTGGAAACAGCGGCATGGTGAGTGAAGTGTTGCTCTGCTCAGTTGGGGAGGAGCAGATGCCTGAGCCTTGAGAGCCACGTGGTGGATCCTCCGCAAATGGGAGGCAGCAGACCAGAAAAGGAGTCTTAAAAAGTCCTTGTAACTCCATGGCCAGGGCAGGGGCCTGTGCATAAAGTTCCTGTGGGGGCTGCATCTGCTTAGAGCACTAGGAGCACGGTGAATGAATGTGGGTGCAGTAAAGAAACCAAAATTGCAGCTCCGTGGATGAAAAGGGAAAAGCTCATTAAAAAATTGGCAAGGCTGTGTGCTGGGAAACCATCAAGAACAAGAAGGTAGATAGACACAGTTTGACCAAAGTTGTGTTTTACTATGCTGAGGGTCTTCAGAAGGTTCACATTCTGAATTCCTACCTTCAAGGTCAAGCCTATCTCCCCAAGGCTGCTCACCTGTGCCTTTTATCTCAACAGAAAGTCAGGTCCATTTTCCGACAAGTCTCTTATTCCATAGTCTCTGAGTCAAGCATCAGGATATGGGGAGACTCTCCAGCCACAGGACAGATCAAGGTGGCATCTCACCAGATGAGCAGAGCAGAGCATTGCTCTTGACCTCTGCTTATATATTATCCCGTGGGTGTCATGGGGTTCTAGGACTGTGTCTGGTTATCTTTAGTGAGTGATATCACTGAATTCTGTTTATCTGGTACAACCTTGGGTGTGTGGGGGGGATCCTGACTAAGCTGTCTTTACATGTCTAAAAGGCAGTTTTTACTATGCGTATTAGAGGTTGAAAGGAGAAGCAGTAGGGAATGTTTCCAGGGTCAGATGGGAACAGAAGACAGGGAGTTGTGAGCTGAGGGATTGGGGCAGGGTTTATGAGCAGGAAGCCTAGAGGCTAGCACTGACCTTGACAAATTAATAGGCACACAGTCATGTAATTGGAAGAGCTACATGTCCCTCTTGCCTGAGAAAAGGAGTATGACTTGGTATTTTTTGTTTTTTGTTTTTGCAAGTAGGAATGTTTTTCAGTCCTCTCAGAAAATGGTGACTTTTGTCTGAATGTCTGATCTTGGGAAAAGGAGTTTCTTGTGGACCAGACACAGGGAACTGTGTGTAGAAACATCCTGGTTATTAATGTCACCAAGCTTTTGGTGTCTTGGAAGGCATGTTGCCACACTCAGAAAGGTCTGGTTTCTCTAGTATCTTCTAGAAGTTCTGCACTTCACATTTATTATTAAGTTATAAAATCCATTTGGAGGTTGTTGTTATTATTATTATTATTATTATTATTATTATTATTATTATTATTATTCTTTTGACTATAAACTGCATCTCATGTGTTGGCTAATTCTCCACTAAGCTGTGATGTAGAAGAGTGGAGCTGATGATATAAAGGATTTACCAAAGTTTAGGAGAAAGTAAGTCACACAAAATAGGATTGAGCAAAAGGAGGGCTGCCTCGAAAAGTCCCCAAAGATAAGTAGTACGCTAACCACACCTGGTAGATATGAAGATGATAGAATGTAACTGTGTGTTCATGAGGATTAACTAGAGTTGTGGCTACAAACCATAACAAAAGAGAAACCTTGATTTAAAATCAATCACTAGTCCCATCCTCATATGCAAGAGCAAGCCTGTGAGAAGCTGCTCAAAAGAGGTTTACAGGGTCAAAACACACATTAAGGGCTGGTGTTCCATAAACATCCATTCCTGAAAAAAGTATAGTTTTGCCAGATGGGCAACATGACCCTGGGTGACAACTATTAGAAAAGGAAAAAGTGGTGTGTTGAGGGCTGGCCTGCTCAAGTAAGACTTTCTCAAAGAAGAAGAAATAGCTCCTTCTTAATCCTTGGAACATGCCTGGTAGAGCCAATAACAGCTTGAAGCCTAGCCCTTGGCAGCTTTTCCTATGGCACTAGGTATAGAACAAAAACAGTTCCTTCTTTTAAACCAGGAATATGCTTGGGAGAGCTGGTAATGGTCTGGGACAAGGGCCTCTGGGAAAGGGTTGCTTCAGATCCTGAGAACCACAACTCTCCCTCCTACATGAGTTTCTGTTTATCAGTCCTATGTTTACTGTGGACTTGGTCAGTAACATTCTTGAGACAATAATAATATGATGTATTTGAATCCTTGTCTCTCATTGGTGGCTTTCTTTAGGGTGCTTATGGACCTTTTAGTGTTAGGAGCCTTTCTTGGGGAAGTTCCCCACTGGGGATGGGACTTGTGTGTCTGTAGCTTCACTCCATAGCTATTTGTTTTTGTCTAATTTCTTGTGGTTGGAACAGATCATCCAACTTCTTTCTCGTGCTGTCATGGCTACACCACCATTATAGACTAGACCCCAAAATTACCCAAGATACAGCAGGAACAATTGATTTTTAACCATCAGCCATTTTGCTAGTCTAATGATTTTTTTGTTTGTTTATTTGTGTTTCACTTTTAAAATACATATGTCTGTCCATGGCAAGGGTTCACTCTGTAGTCCTGGCTTTCCTGAAAATAGCTCTATAGACAAGGCTGGCCTGGAAACCAGAGATCTGCCTGCCTCTGCCTCCCAAGTGCTGGGATTAAAGGTGTGCTCCATCATACCTTGATTTTTTATTTCTATATTATTGACTGATTCACCTGGAATATATGTTTTTGTGCATGTCAGTCATATGCTGTTGTGCTGAGCTTCACCCACATCTTGAGTTTTAAACTTTGTCAGAAGGTATCGTTCTGTATACCAGGATGGCATAGATCCATGATCTTAAGACCGTATGAGCCTTCAGAGTCATGGGATGACAGTTGTGTGACAGTCTTGCCACCTTTTCTGTAGTTTGAATTTTTTGAATAAATATGAGTCTTTAGTCTGCATGTACAGATACACACCATAGAGGTGACTGATATTCACAGCAGTCAGATTTCCTCAGAATCCCGGATCTTGGAGTTTTGAATAGTTATAAGCCCCCATGTAGGTACTGGGTACCTCTTCTGCAGGACCAAAGTGTTCTTAAATGCTGAGCCATCTCTCTTGCCCTATACTTTTTTTGTGTTCAACATTTACATTCTTTTCTGTCTACCTGTGATTGTTTAAACATGAACTCACTTCTAGCAAGTTCTTACTGATCTTACATTTTAAACTGGGGCAGTTCAGGTTTCTGTGGGATAAAAACAGAACTGAAGTTTATGCATAACTATTTGCAGAAACTTCAGTGAGACCCTCTGAGTTTTGTCTATGTTGTTTGAATGTTCATTTGTTTGTTTTTGGTCATGGTCTTACTATGTATCTCTGGCAATCCTGGAACTAATAGCAGACACCAGGCAGGCCTCTATCTTAGTGGTCCACCTGCCTCTGCCTCCTGAGTGCTGGAATTAAGGGTCTGAGCCAAATGAACGAGCTTACCCATCCTTTTTTTGTAGTTACAGTTTTTCTGATAGGTACTCAGTACTATTGATCTCTTTGCTTTTCTCTTTCTCTCTGTGTATATCTGTTAATAGATATTTCTCTTGTAAATGTATATCATGTTCAGTGGGCTCAGAAATGACAGGGTGAACCTCATTTTCAAGTTTCTCCTAAATGACTTGGTGATTACATTAGAACTTCTGTTTCATGGAGTAAGTGTGGGAAGCACACAGAATTATGGGAATATATTGTCAAGGAAGAATACATTTCCAATGCTGTCAGTATCATAATTTCTGTAATATGAATGTGTGGGATATTTTAGGATGCTGTGACATATGAAGATGTGCATGTGAGCTTCACTAGGGAAGAGTGGACTTTGCTGGATCCTTCCCAGAAGAGTCTCTACAAAGATGTGATGGTAGAAACTTACAGGAACCTCACTGCTATAGGTGAGATAGAGTTATTCTTTGTAAAAAATAAGTGGACAAGTATCTCTTAATTGTTGATGCTCTTCTGTGATGTTGATCATGAGGGAGGAAGAATGGAAATAAATCAGGCATGGTTCTAAGGTTCAGTAACGATAGTATTATATTTTTTATATTTTCCAATAACATATCATACATTTTCTGTTGCTATATTTTAGGCTACAAATGGGAAGACCAGAATATCAAAAAACATCATCAATGTTCTAGAAGACATGGAAGGTAATTTTCATGTGAAAGCTAGTATAAATGTGTCTCTGAAGTAATGTTGATATGCCCTGGAAGTTTTCATGAAAAGCAAGGGAGGAAATAAGCATAGCTTTAAGTGTCTTGATGATTATTAAACTCTCACAATAGTATTTATTTCAATGTTGGGTAGCTGCTCCATGCTTACAAAACATTCCTCTAAAAAGTCAGTAATGGAAACAATGGCTTAAGAGAGATCACCATTTTCTTAAACCCTGTTTATGCCGTGTCATAAAACTGTCAATTGGTTTGGTTCATATCATTCAGGTTTTGCAAAAAGTTCCCACGTTGACTAGGTGATCAGTGTATGTCCAAGAAATTTCAAGAAGAAAATAGTCGATAAAAAGCTAGCTAGTGTTACTCCTGCTCTTGTAGCAACTTACAAAATAGTGAGTGTGCAGTTTATGAGAGTTATGCAGAATGGGGTTGGCATGGAGAAATTTTAGTCTCTATACCATATCTCTAAGTGGAATGAAACTAAACTTATAAATGCAATGTGAAAATATTTTATTTGTTATTATTTTATAGGCATATCATATGCCAGTCTGGACACAAGCCATGTGAGCCTAAGGGATATGTATAAAAGTAATATATTTCTTCCCAGATAAATTAGAAGATGTATAGTAGACCCCCACTATGAGTAGACTTGTTGAATGTGATACAAATTTACAATAATTTGGTTTTCCATCTTCTCTGAGAGTTCATCAACAAACTCACAGTGGAGAAAATCCGTATGAGTACAAGAAATTTGGAAACTGTTGTGTTTGTCCTGGTTCACATTGCAAATGCATTGTGACTCGTAATATAGGAAAGTATTATGAATTCAGTCAGTGTGGTAAAGCTCTGGGCCTTCCAGTTTTCTTCAGAGATGTAAATAAAGTCATATGAAGAAAGGATAGTGTACATGTGAGCCATGTACTAAAGGATGGAAGCACCACAGGTATCTTCAAACACATAAAATAACCCATATTGAAGTTGAACCCTATGAATGCAATGCCTTTAGTTCTGATTCCCTTTACAATTATAGTAAAGAACTTAAATGGAAATAAAACCCTATGAATATAAACCATGTGGTAAATCTTTAACATATCAAACATCTGTATTATATAGTAGACTTCCAAAAGACAAAATGATGCATAAATGTAATTAATGTAGTAAAGAATTTACTCATGCCAGGTTTCTTCACAGGCACAAAAGAAGTAATTCTGCAGAGAAAGACTATGAATGTAAGCAATGTGGTAAAGCCTTCACGTTTCACAGCACTCTGAAAATACATGAAAAAACTCATACTAGAGAGAAACCCTATGAATGTAATCACTGTAGTAAAGCCTTTACACGTCTTGTTAATCTTCAAAGGCATGAAAGGATTCATAATGGAGAGAAAGCCTATGAATGTAATCACTGTAGTAAAGCCTTTACACATCTCGTTCATCTTCAAAGGCATGAAAGGATTCATAATGGAGAGAAAGCCTATGAATGTAATCACTGTAGTAAAGCCTTTACACGTCTCGTTCATCTTCAAAGGCATGAAAGGATTCATAATGGAGAGAAAGCCTATGAATGTAAGCAATGTGGTATAGTCTTTACTTTTCACCGTACTCTGAAAATTCATGAAGGAATTCATACTGCAGAGAAACCTTACAAATGTAATCAATGTGATAAAGTCTTTGTATATAACAGTCATCTTCAAAGGCATGAAAAAACTCATACTGGAGAAAAACCCTATGAATGTAAGCAATGTGGTAAAACCTTTACACGTGACAGTTCTCTGAAAATACATGAAAGAATTCATACTGGAGAGAAACCCTATGAATGTAATCAATGTGGTAAAGCCTTTTCACATCACAGTTATTTCTTGCAACATGAAAGAAGCCATACTAAACCCTACAAATGTAGTCAATGTAGTAAAGTCTTTACACGTAACAGTTCTCTGAAAATGCATGAAGCAATTCATACTGGAGAGAAACTCTATGAATGTAAGGAATGTGGTAAAGCCTTTATATGTAATAACCATCTTCAAAGGCATGGAAGAATTCATACTGGAGAGAAACGCTATGAATGTAATCAATGTGGTAAAGCCTTTGCATATCACAGTTATTTGAAAATACATGAAAGAATTCATACTGGAGAGAAACCCTATGAATGTAACCAATGTGGGAAAGTCTTTGCATATCATATTAGTCTCCAAATACATGAAAGAACACATACTGGAGAGAAGCCCTTCAAATGTAACCAATGTGATAAAGCCTTTATATGTAACAGTCATCTCTACTATCATGAAAGAATGCACACTAGATAGAAACCCTGTGAGTGTGGTAAAGCCTTGGCACATCCATCAGTTTAAATATATTAGAATACCTACACTCTAGTACTCATATAATCAAAGAAAAGTCATATCTCTAAAAGATTTACCTTATAGTTTAAGTCCATAAGGCTTTTCTCTATATGAATTGGTAGGTACAGATAAAGAGAAGAGGAGCATCAAAATACTTGAACATACTGTTCACATTAAGCAGATTTTCTTCCTTTGAGATTAACTTTAATTAATCGTGTAACTGAGCAGAGCAGAGTGGTGTTGGATGAAGATCTTTCCAAATCTTTTATAGCCATAGATTCTCTTAGCAGAGAGTATAATTTTATATATTCAAACAATAATGTAAACCTTTTAGATATCAGACTTCAATTGCATGAAAATACTAAGACATACTCCGTGTATTAGGTTTTTTTTCTGTTGCTGTAGGAAAACAAAATAAAGCAAATTATAGAAGAGTTTATTTTGACTTATGGTTCCTGAGGGACAAGAATTCATCATGACAGGGAACCTGAGAGCTCACATTATTAACCTGAAAGCATGAATCAGAGAGTGGGAACTTCATGGGGACTGAAGCTTGAAATCCTCAAATACCAATCCCAATGACATATTTGCTTCAACAAAGTTGCATTTCCTGAACCTCCCAAACACCACCATTACTAGACACCAGTGTTCAAATGACTGAAAGCATAGAGGACATTTATTATTCAAACCACCACATGAATTAATAGAGTGGCAATGACCTTGCATGTCACTGTCACCATCAAAAACATGAGTGAAATACTGGAGAGAAACCTGATGAATGAAAGCAATGTGTAAAAAACTTTTTGCCACCTGGACTGCCTTTTGCTACATCTACTGATTCAGGATGAAGCAAAGCTTTGGAGGTAAGTCTCTGGATACTCTAAGACTTGTGTTATAGAAATGAATTGTTCCCCTAGTGAATTATGTTTGTTTAAAGATTTGATTTATTTTTAATTATGTCAATGTGTCTACATGTGGGTATATGCATACTTTTGTTGGCACCCAAGGTGTCCAGAGACATAAGATTATCTTCTATTAGGAATTAGAGAACATTGTTAGCTACCTATCCTGGATCTGGAGAAGGAACTTTTCTTAACAGAGTAACAACCTCTCCAGTCCCATAAATAGTTCTCTAATGCCTTTGTATATCATCTTGATGTCAGGAAATAAGCAAAAAGTCATGCAAAAGAAAGTAGTACCCTATTCATATAAACAACTTGTTAGTTAATAACTTTAAATACCACAATTATCTCCAATTACAAGAACAATTCCTCCTTTGTCTCTTTTTTATCAAAGTTTGAAGGAAGTAAATAATATACCATGTTCACTCTAGTCTTATAGTAGAAATCACTGCATTGTGCACTGTACTTTAAAATTTATAGATTAGCAATAGATGTATTCAGAATGTGTGGCAAATGCATTATTGAATTTTATTTGAAGGTTCTTACATTCCTTCTGTGGTTTATGTTACTTTTCTTTTATGTTTATTTGGTGATAGTTACTTTTCTGCTACAATATATAGAATGTGTTGTCCATAAATATGTAGTCCATTGATTATGTTGATGATGATATATTTCAACCACTAATTTCTTGAAAATGTGGTGTATTTTTATTGATTTTATTTTTCATATTTACACAAATTTCCTTGAAATGGCCTTGTTTGTATTCTAGCCTTCTTGGTTGTCAGTAATGACCCAGGGCAGCATTTGAACTTATGATCTCATAGGTCTACCTTCTGTGTACTTGGATAGATGATTTACACCTAACATTTCCTATTTAGTCCACACATTTCAAAAATGTACCTCTTAAAATGATTAATAGAACAGAATACTAGAAATATTGAATACCTTTTGTGTATGTAAAACTGCTTTTTCATCTATATAGTAAAGATTTAATGCAATAGGATATGTAGCAGTAAATTGTATATGTATATTTCATAACAGACTGAACTTTTATGGAAATATATATGATATCCCATCCTCCCTTATGTTATTATTAGATGAAGTACTGCTTCCTCTTGGAATTGACTTGAGATACCAGAAATGTAACTACAAGGAGATTTCTTTCTAAACAGGCATTTTTGTCATGTGGTTATGGGCATGTAGTCCATGACAGATATGTAAAAACCAGATGACATCTTTTTGGAGTGCTCTCTCTGCTCTCTTTATATGAATTCTGGATCATGCTGTAGTTACTAGCTTTGTACACCACACATATTTCTCTTTGAACCATCTCACTGGTGAAGAAAGATTTGTAGTAATAATGTATCAATAAAGGTTTAAAACTGTAAACAATATTTTCATCTAAAATATTGGAACATGGGACAATTGAAATATATCTATTTGCAAGTGAAAAGGATAATCATCCCCACTGTGTAATACTCCATTGAGTAAATGTACCACATTTTCTTTATCCATTCTTTGGTTGAGGGGCATGTAGGTTGTTTACAGGTTCTAATTATTATGAATAATGCTGCTGTAAACTTCGGTGAGCAAGTGTCATTGTGTTTTGATTGAGACTCATCTGAGTATATGTCTAAGAGTGGTATTGCTGGGTCTTGAAGTAGATTGATTCCCAATTTTCTGAGAAACCACCATACTGATTTCCAAAGTGGCTGTTCCCACCCTTTGCCCTCCCACCAAGAGTGGTGGAGTGTTCCCCTTACTCCACATTCCTTCCAACATAAGCTGTCATCAGTGTTTTTTGATCTCGGCTATTCTGACAGGAGTAAGATGGTATCTCAGAGTCATTTTAATTTGCATTTCCCTGATGGCTAAGGATTTTGAGCACTTCCTTAAATATATTTTGGACATTTGAGATTCTTCTGTTGAAAATTCTCTGTCTAGATCTCCACCACATTTTTAATTGGATTATTTGGTTTTATGATGTCTAGTTTCTTGAGTTCTTTATATACTTTGGAGATCAGTCCTCTGTTAGATGTGGGGTTGGTGAAGAAATTTACCCATTTTGTAGGCTGTCATTTTGTCTTATTTACTGTGTCCTTTTCCTTACAGAAGCTTCTCAGTCTCAGGAGGTCCCATTTATTTTTTATTGCTCTCAGTGTCTGTGCTACTGGTGGTATATTTAGGAAGTGGTCTCCCTTTCCAATGCATTCTAGGCTGCTTCCTACTTTCTCTTCTATCAGGTTCAGTGTAACTGGATTTATATTGAAGTCTTTGATCCATGGGACTTGGGCTTTGTGCATGTGGATAGATATGGATCTACCTGCATTCTTCTACATGTCCACACTCAGTTATGCTAGCACCATTTGTTGAAGATGCTTTCTTTTTTCCATTGTACAGTTTTGGCCTCTTTGTCAAAAATCAGGTGTTCATAGGTATGTGGATTAATGTCAGTTTTCAATTCAATTCCATTGATCCACTTGTCTTTTTATATGCCAATACCAAACTGTTTTTCTTAGTATTGCTCTATAGTAGAGCTTGAAGTCAGGGATATTGATGCCTCTGGAAGTTCCTTTATTGTATAGGATTGTCTTTGCTATCCTGCGATTCTTGTTTTTTTTCCTTATGAAGTTGAGTATTGTTCTTTTTAGGTCTGTGAATAATCATGCTGGGATTTTGTTGGGGATTGCATAGAATCTGTAGATTACTTTTGGTAAGATTGCCATTTTTACTATGTTGATCCTACCCATCCAAGCGCATGAGAGATCTTTCCATTTTCTCATATCTTCTGCAATTTCTTTCTTCAAAGACTTAAAGTTCTTATCATACAGGTCTTTCACTTGTTCTGTTAGAGTTACTCCAAGATATTTTATGTTATTTGTGGCTATTGTAAAGGTTGATGTTTCTCTGATTTCTTTCTCAAGCCAATTATTTGTATATAGGAGAGCTATTGATTTTTTTTTTTTTTTTTTTTTTTTTTTTTTTTTTTTTTTTTTAGTTAATCTTGTATGCCGCCACATTACTGAAGGTGTTATTCAGCTGGAGAAGATCCCTGCTGGAATTTTGGGGGTCACTTATGTATACTTTTTTTTTTTTTTTTTTTTTTTTTTAGTTTTTCAAGATAGGGTTTCTCTGTGCAGCTTTGGAGCCTGTCCTGGAACTCACTCTGTAGCCTAGGCTGACCTCAAACTCACAGAGATCCGCCTGCCTCTGCTTCCTGAGTGCTGGGATTAAAGGTGTGCACCACCACTGCCCAGCCACTTATGTATACTATTATATCATCTGCAAATAGTGAAAGTTTTACAACTTCCTTTCCAATTTGTATCCCCTTGATCTCCTTTTGTTGTCTTATTGCTGTAGCTATAATTTTGAATACTCTATTGAATAGATATGGAAAGAGTGGAAAGCCTTGTCTTCTTCCTGATTTTAGTGGAATCACTTTGAGTTTATCTCCATTTAGTTCAATGTTGACTGTTGGCATGCTGTATAATGTTATGTTTAAGTGTGTTCCCTGTATCTCTGATCTCTCCAAGACCTTTATCATGAAGATGTTAGATTTTTGTCAAAGACTTTTCAGCATCTAATGAAATGATCATGTGGGTTTTTTCTTTCAGTTTGTTTATATTGTGGATTACATTGACATATTTTTGTATGTTAAACACCCCTGCAAGTCAGAGATGAAGCCTTCTTGATCATGGTGGCTGATATTTTTGATGTGTTCTTGGATTTGGTTTGCTAGTATTTTATTGAGTATTTTTGCATGAAAGTTCACAAGGGAGATTGTTCTGTGATTCTCTTTCTTTGTTGAGTCTTTGTGTGATTTGGGCATCAGGATAACTGTAGCCACACAAAAAACAATGATAGTTTTTGTCTAAGTTTGATGTTATCTTTTCTTCCATAACTGTACCATGAATCTTAAAAGGTCTTATTAATAAAAACAAACCTAGAGCCAGGTATTGGGGTGAATGTTGAATGATCAGAGAAAAAGAATGAGCCACATCCAACTTCACCTTGCCAATTCCTCAGCTGCTCTGAATCCTCATCCAAATGGATCTCTGCTGAACTGCTGCTAAAAGCTAAAAGGTTAACAAGACTCTAGTTCCTGGTCCTCATGCCTTATATACCTTTCTGTTTCCTGCCGTCACTTCCTGGGATTAGAGGTGTGTGTCACCATGCCTGGCTGTTTCCAGTGTGGCTTTGAACTCACAGAGATCTGGGTGAATCTCTGCCTCTGGAATGCTAGGATTAAAGGTGTGTTTGCCACCATTTTCTGGCCACTATGTCTATCTAGTGGCTGTTATGTTCTCTGACCTCAGATAAGTTTATTAGGGTACACAATATATCGGGGGACACAATATCACCACATATCACTTAAAATAGCTCATTATAAAAACATATCTTAAATTTTAGAAAGTTTTTATTGCAATCTCATCATGTTTATTTATTTATTTATTTGTTTTTTCGAGACATGGTTTCTCTGTGTAGTTTTGTTGCCTGTCCTGGATCTCACTCTATAGAACAGGCTGGCCTTGAACTCACAGAGATCTGCCTGGCTCTGCCTTCTGAGTGCTGGGATTAAAGGCGTGCTCTACCACCACTGTCCGACACTCATCATGTTTATTAATGTGAGTTAACTTGCGTATTGTTTTCTGATGTTTACTGAGATATGGTATGATATATTTTACTTGTAAAATTATAGTATTTTATACTATAATAAATGCGTAGAAATAGGTGAGTAATCGAGTTAAAGTTACAGTTTCAGAAAAATAAACTATAATTTTTTTCTAATATTCTCCTTACTGTTTTCAATGTATTATTTCTGTGAGAAAATAGGTGATCTAAATGACTCCAGATGAATTGATTTGGCCACAGTTTCAGAGATTTCAGTCCACTGTCTAGGATAAATTTGTTCTCCGTTTTGTTTAATTTTCTAGCATATGTGTGTGTGTCTGTGTGTCTGTGTGTGTCTGTGTCTGTGTGTATACCTGTGCATGCACATGAAGGCTCACATGGAGGATACAAACTAATGGCATGCATTCTTCCTGGAGCTAGTGTTACAGGCAGTTTTATGCTGCTTGATGTAGGTGTTGGCAACTGAACTCGGCTCCTGAAAGAGCAGTGTGTGTTCATTTTCAGTGATCCCTAATTTCTTGCCCCATTAGCTGCTTTTCTTATGCCTCCCAGAACTACCTGCCCAAGGTGTCACTGTGCAGTTTATATGAGTCATTTCACATTAATTAAGGAAATATCCCTATGGATTTGCCTAAACCAAACTTATAGGTACATTTTCTCAATTGAGGATCTCTTTTCCCAGATGATTCTAACTTGTGTCAAGATGAAAAAAAAAATACTATGATGGGACACAATACAAGTACCATATACACATGACATGTAAGGTTAGTTGAACTGGCATTTTATTTTTAATGATTTATTTTGATCAAATACCACTAAATGTCTGTTGAAATTTGTTGTAATACATGTGTTGGAAATGAATGCTTTCCCAGAATTATTCTTAATACAGAGGCACAGATTGAAGTATGTTTTCCTAAAATTGTATCCTGTAGGCAGATGAACTTATATGATTGTAAACATATATGTGTTAAGTTTCCTTTCTACAGTGAAAATTACTGGAGCTGCAGTAACCACATATACTGCCATCCACAATGCATGCAGAATGCTCTGTATATAATAAATGGGCTGTTATAAGTCTTTTCAAAAGGTAACTATGTAAATAAATAAACAAACAAATACAACACTGATTGTAGCAAGACAAAACTAACATATTCTCACTTTACACATCCTGAGTTGATATCATCTAGGGAGATGCTAGGACTAGCATCGTCAGACAAGGCAAAAGTGGGACATTAAGGGTTTGGTGACAGGAAGTAACCCAGAGAGGTCGCTCTAAATGAAGTGGCAGCAATTCTCCCCAAGTGCTGACTTTGTCAGCGAACCCAATCCCAAGTTGTGAATGGCATGTGAAAATGGGCGTTGGGTAGCCTTCATAGAACTGAGAGGGATGCCTAAAAAAGAACTTTGTAATCCTAAGAACTCTACCCACTTGGTCCTTTGAAAAGTCTCTTTCAGAATTCCTTAGGAAACACCCCCTTTAGTCTTGCCAAAATCTTCATTGGCTATAATCTTAACCATTAAATATAATATGACCTAGAAAACATAAAAAGATAATGACTTTCTCTTCTACAAAACATTGTGACCACCATATAATGTGAATAATTACTGATGGTACACCAGTTACAAAATCACATTACACTTAGACACTCTCTAAAAGAGAAGACAGTTGTTTCATGTGCTATAATATAGAACTTCTCTGTCTACTAGCAAGACTTTTCTATTTACAAATGAGCCAAAGAAACTGAAAAGAAAGAAAACACAGAGCTCCATAGTGACACTATAAGCAATCCGTTCCTGAGGTCCATGTAACTTATAGGGGGATTACAGTCCCCATTACCATTCTCCTTTAATGTTCACTCATGGATAGACTAACATTGTCATGAGGTCCAGTTTTAAATATATAAAAGGGATTTCCTCATTTTGATTTAACACACTTATGTCATGCTTCCACTAATACATTTAAATGTTCTGATTCATAACTTTAATTTGTAGTGTGAATTCTAATTGGTCTTAATAACAACAATGAGGAGCCAGATATAGGGGTAAATGCCGAAAGATCGGAGAAGTAAGTCAGCTCGCCAAAGTTACCTCTTGTCTCTACAACTTCTCAGACTGAGGAGGGCCAAGCTTCTTTGTCTTTCCTGCCTTATCGCTCCTCTCTCTGCCCCCCTGTCTCCTGTCTGTACAGACCTCCAGACCTCAATGGTTAACTAATGGCTGTCTCCCCCCTCTCATCTTTAGGCAAGCTTTATTTGTTTGAGAACAAATAAAATATCACAATTCCCCTTTTTTTGTCTAAAATAAAATAAAGAAGTTTATAACTAATATATGAAGAACTATGTACAATAAGTACAATAACTATGTACAATAATTACATCAACAATGTCTAGTCCATTAACAATTGACAAATTCAGAGAAAACACTCCATTATCTATCCTATCTTGATGAGTCCAAAAGGTACCTAATTCATTTTCTATTGTAACTTGTACTGACAAAGCTTTATTTTAATGTCTTCCAACCCTATACTTTACAGCTCTTTAGTGAATTTCTTTTCTGAACCTGTTAACAAGAAAGATTATAACTATAACTATGAAGTCTTTAACTCCATCAGAGACCTAAGAAGGAAATAATATTACCTAAGTAAACAGGAGGTACAAGCAAGTGCCTTCCAAAAAATGTGAGAAATGACACAAACGGCTGGTTGCCTGTACAGTCACCCAAGGTTTCACTGTAACATTGCAGAGTCCATCTTTGGCCCACAGACCTAGCATATCTGATTGACTTTTCTGTGAAGCAGGATATTATGAAGAACTATTCTACCTTGTCGTGGCAATGTTCAGCAGTCACTTTCTTTTGTGTCCTGCTTGTCCAATTTGGACAGCATACTGTCAGCAGTTGAGGCAAAAGCAACTTGCCCAATAGATAATTTTGGCCACAAAGAAAGTAAGCTTCATATGGAGTTTCTTCAATGCCCACCATCTTCTCTGAATTAGATTGGTGCTGCTGGGAGAAGACATGTCTCATTGTCATAAAAAAAACAAAAAAAAAACTTATGTTTATTAAAACATCTTAAATGCCCTATTCTGTAGATTTCTGAAGAGTTTGAAGACCACCTGTCTACCTAAAATGTATCCGTTTGACCTAGAAAACATACCTAATATGACTGCAAGTTTGGTTGTAATAAGTGACTAACTACTAAGCTACATTTCTTTTTTATCCTAAATAGTTTGTAATAATAGCTAACAAGGACTAGAAATTTGCATGATATTGTTAAATGACCTGTATAGGTACAATACCTTGAGCAAGATTAGAAATGTATGTACTGTATGTTCTAACAAAAATAACCTCAACTTTGTATCGACATACAAAGATCTATATCAATGTAAATATTTAAAACAAGCAGTTGCTTTTTAAAAGTAGATTCAGTAATCTACCCATTTATCCTATCATTTTTATATCCCCCCTTTTCTTTTAAAAACAAGAACCCTAAATAGAATCTCCTTTGTTCAACTTGTTTTTAAACCATTACCAATAAATCTTGTAACCAACCACCCTAAACAATGACAGATATCCATAACCCATTGAAAGATCAAAAAGCACCCACTTTTGCATAATACTGAAGGATCTAGCCCTAATATTATACAATTCCAGGGGCCCAGGACAGATGCTACCATTGGTGCAAGAATGAATCCAGATGCATGAGGCTCTTGGTCCAATTCATTTATTCATCAGTCCATCATTCATTTCACCAGTTGGCTTTCTCAGATCTTTTTATTTCCTTGGTTCCTTTTATTCTAACCTCCTCCTCCCAGGACTGGTCCATATCCTATCCCAAGCAGCAACACCTCATGTTTTGTAAACAGCACAAGATTGTAGGGATCCCCGCTAGAGGCTTCCTGACAATTGTATTTGCAACCCAAAAGGAGAGAGATAAGAGTGGAGTCAGTTAGTAGTTGAAATAAATCAGAAAAGGAATTTGTGTGCTAGAAATACATCCTTACTGTGGTTAGGTGAAGGCATTACAAGTCTATCATAAATGTGTTCAACTGTAAACTTACAGGTGATAAGGTAGGGAAAGACAGTAGGTCACTAAAAGTTAAAACTCACTTTTTTCCTCGGCTGCCAGTTTCCTGACAGGGCAGGGAAGGAGTACTGATAGCTAGTCAATCTGCATCACAGCTTGAAATGCCTGCTGGGAGGAAACGCTTTTGATGTAAGAGGTTACCTTAGTTTGGGTGGGGGGGACTTCAGGCTTCTAACAGATGGCCTGGTAGCTGCCTGTTCCTTGCTTGTCTTTTAAGGCTTTGTTTGGGGTTGCCTCTACCTTAGGTAGTAGCTCAAGGAGGGTATTTGCAAAAGGCAAATACCCAAAACAAATGCTAAAGAGGGGGCCTGGAGCTCAGAGGCAGAAGGTTCTGTCTCCATGACTATCCAGGTACCTTGAAGCGGAGATTCATACACATTTCAGGAGAATTATGAGCACAAGGAATTCATAGCAAGGCACAACTGAATATTAAGCTGCATAACACCAATAGTCCTTGCTGATTGGCTTCCCACTCAACTGACCCTTGGTCTTGTCAAGGTATAGCTTATAATATACAGCTGGACTTCTATTTCGTATTCTTGTGGCTTGCCACAACCCACCCCACCTCTTGGATATATAATGTGCATATCATGTTATTAAAATTGCTTCCTGCTGTCTGGATACAACTGCATCCTTAAGGGGATCCTGAAAAGAGAAATTTGGGTTAATTGTCAAGTCATGGGAGAGGTAGCTGTATCATTTGTTTTCCAGTGTCTGCATAATGAGAAAGTTCAGGACTTGTCTCAAGTCCTGGCTAGAGTAGTCTGTAAGGCTGGATCATCTCAGCTAACCAGCTTGAAATTATCCTGAGCAGTTTGTATGCCAAAGTTGATCTTTGTGTGGTTTTTGTCAGCTTAATGGTGTTATCATAGTCCTGGTGCAATCATCTTTGTGAGGCCCCATCCTCCTTTTGGAGACTTCAGAGGTCATTGTTAGGCATGGTCTTGCAGAAAACTTAAATATTTTAAATGTCATAGGCAGCAGATCTCAAAGAGATTAAAGTATAAATATTTTTTATGTACATCTAGAGTACAAAAACTTAATTCCCAGTTACTTGATAGAGAATCAAATCTGAAGTCATGTACAGGAAGCTAGATGAAGCCTTTTACTAGAATTAGTACTCTATATCATGACAAAAAGTTTAAAATATGTATTTATATAAATCTTATAAATTTTGAGATAATATTTATACCTTAAGAAAAGCGCTAAAGAGTCAAAATAAAACCATAGGATTATGAGTTTAGTGGCAATAAAATAGGACCTAGATTTTTGTTTTTCTTCTGTCCCATCTTAAGTAGCTCTTTTGACATTAGACAGAGATTTTTAATTTTACTTTAACAAACATGCTTGGGATTAGAGAAGGAGGGAGCCACACTCCCAACTCCAAAGCCAGCTTCAATTTTCAATTGAACTGGGGCTACAAAAAAACCGTTTGCATTGCATGCCTGTATAGAAGAGCAGAAACAAACATTTAGGAAGAATTATGAAATTTTATCCTGTTGGATATGTGATACACCAATAGGTCAATTTACTCCTTTTCTTGGGACATTTTTTTTTCTGGATGATTTGTCCCTTTTCTTCACATGTCTCATTTGTTCAGTGGCCTTCAGATTCCTTATCTGGATGCCTTCATTCTCCCAAAAAGACAAAAACAAAACCATGCCCCAACCCTAACTTTGGGGAGGTTCACTTTTGGCAAGTTATATCTAATCAAATGAAATGCATTTGTTAGTGGTACACATTGTTTAGATTAAATAGCCATGCTGGTTGATGCACTATCATCTCTTCTAATCAAGAAGTCTCTCTTGTTCAAATCTAATCTTTATCAGTCTTGACTTATGGTTTTTCCTGAAATTTTCATTTTATCTTCTAAAGCTATTCTATCATCCAGAGCAGTATAGTTTTGTTTTTTGTTTTTGTTTTTGTTTTCCAATAGGTATTAGGTCTTTTAATTACTCTGGGAATGAATTTCCCCAATGGTCACAGGAAAGGATAGAACCGAATTTGACATGGAGGCCTGTGAGAGGCCCCTCAAGGAGTTTCCAAATGGCAAAGGGTTACTTTGACTGTCTCTTGTTGATCTACATTCATTAGTCCAATGTCTGGCTTTGCTACACCTTCTGCATACTCCAGAAGTGAGGGACATTCTACTTGGATTATTCTTAGAAAAAGCATTGTTTCTAGGAACACCCTGTTTACAGTCACTTTTCAGGTGACCTTATTTACCAAAATTGAAACATCTGACATTTCAATTTTTCTTCAAACTTCTGGAAATCACCCCTCCTTTCCAAACATCATTATGGTTATGAGATTCAATATTGATTGTATCTTGGATCCATTCCTCTAAGGGTGCTGGTTTTTAATGGCCTAATTACACTTTTGCATTGTGCATTAGTATTTTCAAAAGCCAGGGATTTAATTATTGTTATTTGTATAGTTTCTGAGTTTGGTATCACTCATTTTACTGCTGAAGTCAATCTTTGTAAGAAATCAGTGAAGGTTTCTTTTGGGCCCTGTATAACTTTAATAAATGATTCAGTTTTCTTTCCTACTTCTTCAATTAGGTCCCAAGCATTCAAGGCTGCTGAGTGGCTTAAAACCAGGCTGTGGTCATCATATAGAGATTGCCCTTGTACATTAGCATAATCTCCCTCTCCAAGAAGTTGATCTTGGGAGAGTTCCATACCTCTAGCCCTACTTCCTTGTTCAATGGTCTTAGTTTCATCTTTCCACCAGGTCCTCCACTGTAATTGAGGACTAGGCTCCAAGACTGTTGTAACCAAGTCTCTCCAGTTGTGAGGGATAATTCTATGACAATTTGACTGTGAATTTAACATCTGCTTCACAAAACATGAATGCATGCCATATGAGACTATCACTTCCTTAAATCTCCTTAAATCTAACGTTTCCACAGCAATCCATTCAGCTCTTACACAGCCTTGGGGATATCTATCATTTGGCCATTCCTGTAAGGTTACTCG